CATCTTCACATAAAACTGTTCCATAACATGAAAATACTGAATCTGAGATACAGATATTGAGTAATTTGTCTAGGACTAAAGCTACAATTATAAATGGCAGGATTCAACCCTGAGTAATTCTAATCCTGGCATTCTTTTTCCCCAGTCTTTCTGCACCTTTGGATATATGAGCACTGAACAATAATAAAATATTCATACAATATTTAAGTAAAGAGATGTGGTGAAATGCAGGCACCAAATATTTGTATTTACAAAAAAAAATAAAATAAAATGGAAGCACTGGCTAGAAGCAAATGTAGAAGTATCTGGATAGTAACTTAATATTTATTTATTTATTTATTTACTTTGCTTTGTGGGTCACACCCGGCAATGCTCAGAAGTTACTCCTGGCTCTGCACTCAGGAATTACTCCTGGTGGTGCTCCGGGGATCATATGGGATGCTGGGGATTGAACCCAGGTTGGCTGCGTGCAAGGCAAATGCCCTACCCACTGTGCTATAGCTCCATTCCCCAGATAGTAACTTTAAAGATACATAAGTGACTTGTGTTCATTGTAGCACTACTTATAATAGCCATGGTAGACATCCTAAGTGTCCAATGATGAAAGATGAGTGGATAATGCTGTGCTCTCTATACACAATGGAATACTACCCCATTGTTAGAAACAATGAAATCTTGTCATTTGCAGTAAAATGGATATAGTTGGAGAATATAATTATGCTAAGTGAAAAAAGTCAAATGGAGAAAGACAAGTTGCTGATGAGCTCATTCCAAGGCAGATTGTAAAGAAACAAAGCAAAGGAATTCAAAGATGACCCTAGAGGGGCATGAGAGTGGAAGGAGGATTCAAAAGATGGTGGTGGGAGAATTTTGACACACTGGTGTTCCTTGTGCTACAAACTATCTTCAGCGTAGTGTGGAAAAGCACTTCTGTAACATATACAATGATGTAAAGAATTTTTGCTCGAGGTAAAGGTAAAGGTAAAGGCCCTCCCGTTGATCCTCGATTTGCTCGAGCGGGCCCAGTAACGTCTCCATTGGAGACTTTGTTGTTACTGTGTCTGGCATATCGAATACTCTCGGTAGCTTGCCGGGATGATATCTTAATAAAAAGAAATACTTAAAAATGAACCCATATATGAAAAGGGAGATATTTAGCCATAAAATATGGGAGCCATTCACACAGAACCAGGACTGAACCAATACAAGGAAACAATTCAGATAAAGAAATCAAAAGTTGAACAGATGAAGTGATGAGACAATAGCATAAGAATAGGACAGATAAAAAAAATAAAGGGGAGAAAAGAGAGAGAGAAAGGGAGAGAGAGAGAGAGAGAGATGTGTCATAGAGCAGATGAGGGAAGTAAGGTGGAGGGAGGAACTGGGGGCATTTGTGGCAAGAAATGTGCACTGGGGAAAGGATAGGGATTGGAAGTGAAATTCAATCATAGACAACTTTATAACTGTGTATCTTACTTTTTTTAAAATCCAATTTTAAAAAAGAATAGGGCAGAAAAGAAGACAATGGCAGGGGAAACCTAGTAGTATGTCCTAGAAGCTAGAAACATTCAAGTATAAAAGATTAGCATTTATTACTGTCAAGGCTATTGTAGAGACAATTACATGTTAGAGGTCTCACGAGAAACAAAAAGGAAAAACTAGCCACTATGAAGCTTTCATTCATGCTTATGGGAGTCCTTGCAACCCATCACAATACTTTCCCAGTTCCATTCTGTATACAATTACTACTTACTGAATTAAATTACTCCTAAACATCTGCTCTCATTATTTTTTCTCATTGTTCAGCCAAAATATATCTGTCTAGACTATATATTTAGATTTGGTCTGCTATCCTACTCTCCAAAACAGGACACAAGTGAAAGATCTGGTGATCTATCTAATATATATATATATATATACACACATATATATGTTATATATTATATTGTTCCAGACCAAATAAGACATAAGATCACTTTTGTCCTATAACTACTGTAGATCTATTTCTCTACCTAATCCAGGCTGAAATCCTGGCTCAGTTATTCACTCATTGTATACAACAACAAAAATACGCATATATATTTTGTTGCAGTTCTAGAAAGAATTAATCAGATATTCAGATAAAGTATCCATTTATTGATTGATTAAATGATTTTGTTTTAAACCACACTAACATGAGTCTAGAGACCATATACAGTGAGTGGGATGAAACCAGGGGTTGGCTGTGTACAAGGCAAGCACCTTACCCACTTCACTGACTCTCCAAAATGCAGATACTTAATTTAGTGCTGAGCACCCAATAAAACACTCATATATGTTTGCTATTTAAGTAATATTTATGTTCCCACTTGGACAGTTCATTCACACACACTTAGAAAAATTGCTGCAAGCATAAGATTCAAACAGAATTTTAGGAGGCAAAGTTGATTTCACCATTAGCCAAACTTTTGTGAAACTAATGCCCATCACATTTCTAACTCGCTGCATTTTCTAAAAGGCTAAGACTAAACTTTGGAAGATTATAATAGACATGAATCCACCCACCTACTCTGTTATTTTTCTTTCATTTTTAATTAAAGAACTGTGACTGATAGTTGAATTTTAGGCATATAATAAATATTTCAACACCAATCCCACCATCATATACCTGAGACCCTGGAGGTAAAATCAACTAGTGTATTGCTATGCTTGAAAAACTCCCCGAAAGCTCTTGGAATATTATAAAGTATCAATACACCCATGAGCTTAGTAAGAACTGTCTGTAGATACATATTTAGACATATATAAGCATATATACATACATAAGTATGATGATCTTAACTATATATATATAATTTTATATAAATCTGACAGGATAAAGTAAAAATTCAATTTCACTAATTTATTTCTGTCACTATGCATGCATTTATATTTATATCTCTACATATTTATTATTTGAGTCACATTTGGAGTTACTCAGACTTACTTCTTACTCTGTGCTCAGGGTCAGCTGCAAGCAAGGCACATGCCTTCCCCAGTATACTATCTCTCTGACTCCAACCATTATAAGTTTTCTCAATCGAGTTAACGCAAACATTTCAACTACCAACAAAATTAGATTTCATGGACATTATGGACATTGTTGCTTCTCTCTCTCCCACAAAAAAAATCACTAAAAGTCAAGGATTTGGTGAATTATTTAATCAGAACAAGGGATCAGTGTACTTTTTCTGTGAAGTGCCAGAGTGAAAAGTTTGGGCTTTGAGGACCATAGAGTTTTGGACATGCAACCCTGCCTTTGTAATGTAAAGCAGTCATAAATGATATATAAATGGATGACTGTAGCAATGCTATTTTTAGAATTTTATTCTTGGACACTCACATTTAAATTTCATGTAACTTTCATGTCACGAAATATTATTCTTCTTTTGATTATTTTCAACCACTTAAAGATATAAAACCAATTCTCAGCTCATGAGCCACAAAAAACTAGCGGCATGCTGAATTTAGCCTGCAGGCATCAGTTTGCTGACCTCTGAACTAGAAGATTCATTCAGCCAAGTAAATACAACCAGGGAGAAAGGCTCAGTAGTTTTACTGTGAAATTATGAAAGTACGTTATAAGTCACGTACTAATGGAGAAGCAGTGGAAGCTGCAAATAAAGTACCTGAATAACTTCTCTAGATGCTTTTCCTTTTTCCTAGAACATCTGACATGCTATTTTAGGTACATGTTCTCCTTGTCATACTTTTTACCCTTGTATATACAAATTCTTAAGTCAAGTACACCATGTGCTCCCAAACATATGCTACTTAGAGACATAAGGCAAATTTCAATGTTCTTTCTTAATCCCAGATTTATAATAATTGGAATGTAAAAGACAATTTTTATGAATCTCATGCTTGCAATGTACTTAAAACATTTTATCGCCATCATGTTAATATATCCACCAATTTACATAATAAATAAATGCATCTAAAATGGCTGGATGAGAATATCCAGCAAAAGATCAGTTAAAAATTCTAACACTTTCAAGATAAGACTTTATACATATCAAAAAACAGGAAATCTTGTAATTACTCTTGACTTAGGATGCACAGATTGAGACAGTATGTTCTCATAACTGGCAAAACAGATCTTATCTATAAAATGTTCACTTCTGCATGAAAATTGCAGTTCTTTCCTGAGGAAAAAAGGGCATTTACTGAAAAATTAAGCACTGCAAAAAAAAAACAGAGTCTTTATAAGAACACTCAACCCTTAAAATAAAATACAACCTTTCAGGATTAAACTCTACTCTGGTCAATGCATCACCAGTGGTACTAGAATCTACAAAAAAAAATCTCCAGAACTGGAGCTAAAGTACAGTGGGTAGAGCATTTGTTCCACAAACTGCTGACCCAGATTTAATCCTTGGCATCCCATGTGGTCCCCTGCACATTGCCAAGATTCCTAAGAGCAGAAACAGGAATGTCTCCTGAGCACTGCCAGGCATGGCCCAAAAAACAAACAAAAAATTTCACAACAATGTCTCCACTAAGGTCTCTTTTTTGTTGTTGTTGTTGACAGGATTGTGATTGTTGTGACTGGATCTATAGCACAGTGGGCAGGGCATTTGCCTCACACGTGGCCAACCTGGGTTCAATTCCTCTGCCCCTGTCAGAGAGCCAGGCAAGCTATTGAGAGTATCCCACCCACCCAGCAATTCCTGGCAAGCTCCCCGCGATATATTCGATATGCAAAAAATATTAACAACATGTCTCACAATGGAGAAGTTACTGGTTCCCGCTTGAGCAAATCAATGAATAATGGGAGGACAGTGCTACAGTGCTACAGTGATTTTTGGTATACATTTTAAAACTCTATTTTTTTCCCACTAGCTTGCCTGACATGACAAGTATCTGAAGTTTCTGGAAAACAATGAACTTAAAACACTGAGATGCAAGGAACTCCAAAAGAGTTTTTCAGCAACACAACTACTCTTCACTTGAGGTTAGAGCCACAAATAAAATCCTCTCACCTTTTCCTAATTTCAGAATCCAGGATTATCTGTCTCTTCTTTTGGGGTGGTGCTGCTGGTGGGAGTTCCTCTTGGGTATGCTTTACCAGGATCTGTTCCTGTGTCGTCACCATAGTTACTGTTTCCATTACAGTTGTCTGTGTTAGTGATGGCTGAGTGGTGGTGGCAGCCTGTGAAATCTGTGAGAAGCATTGAAACAGAGGTCACACATTGCTGGAGAGACTTCGGTAAAGACTGCTCGGCATGGTGCAGGAAAATAATGAGAAACTGTTCCTGCTTGTTGGTAAATTGACCTTTGGATCAAAATAGCATCACATTGAACCCAAATCAAATTGTGTTACTGGACTTAAGTTATGTGGACTGCAATGGAAATGGAAAGGAATCTCAAAACCAGAAGTAAACTCCATGCCTCTTAAATTTTAATGGTCAAGATATAAGAAGTAAAGATGGCAAAGGAGGACTAGAGCAATGACTCAAGAGGCTGGAGCATATGCTTTGCATCCAAGATTCTTTGATTCTAGGCTCTGTTCCTATTGATTCCCCGAACTTCAGGAAATGAAGATCCTACACATGCATTACCCACCAAAAGGAGGCAGAGGCAGCAAAGAGTGTTTCCCTGATATTTAAGACAAAGTGCCTTTATAACAGCAAAACAACTTTTACATATTCTTGCCAATTTCATTCTCTTCTGCGTTGTGCATGTTTATTATTAAACCGTTGTTAAATGCATTTTTGGCTACACTATACAGGGTTTATTTATAGTCCATCCATTTTCTAGCAAATTTAAAGTTTATAATACATGAAATTTTAACCAAATAAGTATAGTGTCTTTTAATATTACAGTGAAATGTTAACAAAGGGCCTAGTAACCCATAAACATGGGTAAACTGAGTGCTCTGAAACTGCTATAAAAAGTAACACTATTGGATTAAAATTGTTGATGCTTTGCAAATATTTGGAATTCCAAAGAGGTGGTTCTAGAACTTTTTTGTTTAGAATCATCCTTTCTTTTCAAACTTGTTAATAATATTTTTTCTTCATGATGATGTTTTGTGCTCAGCATCATTCTTTGTACTAATATGGTTTGTGATCAAAGACATAGGAGACATCAGGAGAAAAAGCTCTGGGGTCGCTGATACTTCTGACTTTCGAATTCTCCAATTTTCTCTCTCAGAGTCCTACAATTACCAGGCTGGAATGTTTTCTCTTGGTATTTAAGTTTTGAATAATCCAGATTATTAGAAAGAATGATTTCAAGGAGACCAAAAGAGGAAAGCATTGTATACAATTTTAGCACTTTTAGTAATGTACAGAGATAAGGATTTGACTGGCACCAAGATTCATTCCTCTCATGCTCCAGGACATGCCAATAAATACAAGAAGGGGTTGGGGTAACCTCCATGACTCAGGCAATGATAGCTGAGTCCTTCCGTGGTAGGAAATCATGCAGTCATGAGATCTTATTTCCTTGTCCAAACAGGCAACTGACAGTGAAGTAATGAAATCCAGTGCCGGGGTGTCATAGGTAAAAATTGCTTTTGACAACACATTCCAAAAGTGCTACCATTTGTGCACGTCACATAGCTACACAACGTCAGGCAGTCAGGGGTTCCAGAAATAGTAAAATAAAAGGTTTGGAGATACAATGTTTGAATTTCTTTCTTCTCTAAGACCTCTACAGATTCACTATTCAGAATCAATCACTGAATCACAAATGATAATTACATCAACTTCAGATGCTTATACCAAAATGAAAGCAGATGGTTATAGTTTTTGCTTGTTTCTTTGAGACCACACTCATCTGTACTCACTAATTATTCCTGGTGGTGCTGGGGACACATAACTTTTGCCAGGGACTGAAACTGGGTTGGTCTCTCGCAAGACAAGCATTTTACCTGCTGCACTATCTCTCTGGCACCAGTTACAGAATGTTGCTTTACATGCTTAAAATGTATTCTTAAATCTAATTGCACTCAGCACAAAATTACTATTACAAGATAAAATTAAGAATTTCATTAGTCTAAAGAATTGTCAATTGAAGGTAGCATTCCAAAGGAATTTATTTTTTTGTGAGTTCTTTTTCAACTATCTCCATATGATAGCTTAAAGTTGAACTTAGTCCAGACAGTAGATTTTATATACACAGGTACAAAAATGTAGTAATTCTAAAAATACAAAGCTATATTTCACAGTAATTTATACCCTCATTACACATTTGTACTAATACATATTGATTCTGAAACTAATTTTCATACGCATTTTGAAAGTATTTTCTCATTGACACATATCATACATTTGGGTAGATATGTCCGTGGAAACAATGGAGAATTTTAACATGATATTTGATGCAATTAAATGAAATCTAAAATTGCATTTAAGAGATAATGAACTTTGGAACCGGAGCAACAGTACAGCGGGTAGGGTGTTTGCATTGGATGCAGCCAACCCAGATGCTATCCCCAGGGCCTCTCATTGACCCCAAGCCCTGCCAGGTGTGATTCTTGAGTGTGGTGCCAAGAGTAAGCTCCCCTGAACATCACCAGTTGTGCCCCTCTCCCTCAAAAATGTAAAAGACCTTTTAAGAAAAACACTTTTAATAAAATCATAAGATATGGACCTATAACGTTCTATACTGCTTCATCAAATCTGAGGTGGAAAATTATAAAACTGTGCATTGATCTCATAGTTGTAACCATATATGACAAATTAATGGTTATGTTTAAAATCTCTGCCACACAGAAAGAAATTTACTATGTACTCAATATTGCAATGACTGTTATCTAATGACTTTTTTTTTTTTTTTGCTTTTTGAGTCACCACCAGGCGATGCACAGGGATTAATCCTGGTTCATGCACTCAGGAACTACTCCTGGTGGTGCTCGGAAGTATATGTGGGATGCTGGGAATCGAACCCGGGTCAGCCACGTGCAAGGCAAACGCCATAACAGCCCCTCTGCTGACAATTAAGATTTGTCCATAAGGTACATTGAAGACAAAGCTGGCAAAACCCTCCATGACATTGAATCTAATGGTATCTTCAAAGATGCCACGCCACTAACTGAGCAAGTGAAAACAGAGATAGATAAATGGGACTATCTTAAACTAAGAAGCTTCTGCACCTCCAAAGAAACAGTGACCAAAATACAAAGACAATCTACAGAATGGGAAAGGATATTCGCCGAATACACATCTGACAAGGGGTTGATATCCAGGATATACAAAATACTGGTTAAACTCCACAAGAAGAAAACATCCAACCCCATCCAAAAATGGGGCAATGAAATGAACAGAAACTTTCTCAAAGAAGAAATCCGAATGGCAAAAAAGCACATGAGAAAATGCTCTACATCATTAATCATCAGGGGGATGCAGATCAAAACCACAATGAGATACCATCTCACACCTCAGAGACTGGCCCACATGCAAAAGAACAAAAGCAACCGATGCTGGCGCGGATGTGGCGAGAAAGGGACACTCCTTCACTGTTGGTGGGAATGTCCACTGGTTCAGCCCTTCTGGAAAACAGTATGGACGATTCTCAAAAAATTAGAAATTGAGCTCCCATTTGACCCAGCAATACCACTCCTGGGAATATATCCCAGAGAGGCAAAAATGTATAGTCGAAGTGACATCTGCACTTGTTTGTTCATTGCAGCCCTCTTTACAATAGCCAGAAACTGGAAGAAACCTGAATGCCCAAGAACAGATGACTGGTTAAAGAAACTTTGGTACATCTACACAATGGAGTACTATGTAGCTCTTAGAAAAGATGAAGTCATGAAATTTACATACAAGTGGTACAATATGGAAAGTATCATGCTAAGCGAAATGAGTCAGAAAGAGAGGGATAGACATAGAAAGATTGCATTCATCTGGGGGATATAAAGTAACAAAGTATGAGATTAATACCCAAGAATAGCTGAGATCAGCACCAGGAGGATTACTCCATAACTTAGAGGCCAGCCGGGTATCCTAGAGGAAAGGGCTATTCAGATAGAGAAGGGAGCACCAAATAAAGGATGTTTGGAGGATCCTCCCAGGAGGGGAGATGCATGTCGAAAGTAGACTATGGACTGAACATGTTTGCCACTCAATGCCTCTTTTGCAGACCACAACACCCAAAAGGAGAGAGAGAACACAGGGGATTGCCCTGCCACAGAGACGGGGGGATGGGGGGATGGGGGTGGGAGGGATATTATCCATGGTGGTGGAAAATGGGCACTGGTGGAGGGATGGGTATCTGATCATTGTATAATTGAAACCAAAGCACAAAAAATTGTAAATCTACAACTTTAAAAAAAATAAAATATAATAAAGGGGAAAAAATGGTTATGTTTAAAATCTCTGCCACACAGAAAGAAATTTACTATGTACTCAATATTGCAATGACTGTTATCTAATGACTTTTTTTTTTTTTGCTTTTTGAGTCACCACCAGGCGATGCACAGGGATTAATCCTGGTTCATGCACTCAGGAACTACTCCTGGTGGTGCTCGGAAGTATATGTGGGATGCTGGGAATCGAACCCGGGTCAGCCACGTGCAAGGCAAACGCCATAACAGCCCCTCTGCTGACAATTAAGATTTGTCCATAAGGTACATTGAAGACAAAGCTGGCAAAACCCTCCATGACATTGAATCTAATGGTATCTTCAAAGATGCCACGCCACTAACTGAGCAAGTGAAAACAGAGATAGATAAATGGGACTATCTTAAACTAAGAAGCTTCTGCACCTCCAAAGAAACAGTGACCAAAATACAAAGACAATCTACAGAATGGGAAAGGATATTCGCCGAATACACATCTGACAAGGGGTTGATATCCAGGATATACAAAATACTGGTTAAACTCCACAAGAAGAAAACATCCAACCCCATCCAAAAATGGGGCAATGAAATGAACAGAAACTTTCTCAAAGAAGAAATCCGAATGGCAAAAAAGCACATGAGAAAATGCTCTACATCATTAATCATCAGGGGGATGCAGATCAAAACCACAATGAGATACCATCTCACACCTCAGAGACTGGCCCACATGCAAAAGAACAAAAGCAACCGATGCTGGCGCGGATGTGGCGAGAAAGGGACACTCCTTCACTGTTGGTGGGAATGTCCACTGGTTCAGCCCTTCTGGAAAACAGTATGGACGATTCTCAAAAAATTAGAAATTGAGCTCCCAT